TGGAGACTTTACCTCCTTCATGTTTACATGGATGGAACTGGAAAATGTTCTTCTTAGCAAAGTATCACAGGAATGGAAGAAAAAGTATCCAATGTACATAGCCCTTTTATGAAACTAATTTATAGCTCTCAAATGAAAGCTACAACTTAATTCTAGCTCAAGAATATGGGGAGGGGGTGGAAAAGGGGAGGGGAGAAGAGCGGCTGGGTGGTGGGAAGGTGACTGGAAAGATGACCTATATGGTCTGTCTAACAAGGGTACATGTGAACTTCTCTAGAACTAGAGTATAAATGTTTTGACACAATGACTAAGTAAATGACATGAAGTCTATGTTAACCAGCTTGATGAAAGTATTTCAAATTGTATATGAAAACACCACACTGTACCCCATGTTTGCATTAATGTATATAGCTATCATTTAATTTAAAAAAAGACAGAAAAAAAAATTTTCATAGAATGCAAAAATAGTATTGTAATATATATATTTTTTAATTTCAACATAAGTACAATTTACAAATATAATACATTAAAAAAAAAATTATGTATAGGGCAGCACCTGTGGCTCAAAGGAGTAGGGCACCGGGCCCAGGAGGGGAGTAGGGAGTTTACATTAGCCTTTTCATTTCCAAATGAAGTTACATTAACCACTTCATTCCCAAATGGAGTTACATTAACCTTTTCAGCAGCTAAAAAAACCATATATCACCTTCCCATTGTCCTGCTATTCTCTAGCTTGTCATACATTCTTTCCGAAAATTGGGACTTTTTTAAAACACGGTGGGACGTGGGACAAATTGTTAAAAATCGGGACTGTCCCGCCAAAAGCGGATGTCTGGTCATCTTAGGTATATGTACACCATGGAATATTATTAAGCCCTAAAGAAAGATGGAGACTTTACTTCCTTCATGTTTACATGGATGGAACTGGAAAATGTTCTTCTTAGCAAAGTATCTCAAGAATGGAAGAAAAAGTATCCAATGTACACAGCCCTATTTTGAAACTAATTTATAGCTTTCATAGGAATATTATAACCTAATTATATAGCCTTAGAATAGAATATGGGGGGTGCGGGGTGGGTGAGGGGAGAGGAGAGAGGTGGATGGGTAGAGGGAGGGTGATTGTTGGGGTCACCTCTATGGTTTATCTTACAAACAGTGAATCTTTCTAAAAGCAGAGTATGAATGTCTTAACTCAATAGCTAAGAAAATGACATGAAGGCTACGTTGACCAGTTTGATGTATTTCAAAATGTTTATGAAAACACCACACTGTACCCTATGATTGCATTAATGTACACAGCTACGATTTAATAAAAAAAAAATACAGCGAGAAAATTTTATTTGACCATTTATATCAAGTATTCAAGGACAGTGCCTGTGGCGCAGTGAGTAGGGCGCCAGCCCCATATACCAAGGCTGGCGGGTTCAAACCCAGCCTCAGCCAAACTGTAACAAGAAATAGCCAGGCATTGTGGCAGATGCCGGTAGTCCCAGCTACTTGGGAGGTTGAGGCAAGAGAATCACCTAAGCCCAAGAACTGGAGGTTGCTGTGAGCTGCAACGCCACAGCATTCTACCAAGGGTGACAAAGTAAGACTCTGTCTCTAAAAAAACAAAATTAAAAAAAAAAAAAACATATACATCAAGTATTCACATAGCTAACTATGTGTTATCTTAACTTCCAAAAACATCAAGCTCAAAAAAGAATGGCCACTAATGATTAAGTTGAAATTTTAAATTTCTAAAAGAAAATAAACAAATAAATAAAATTTCTAAAAGAATATATAGTCATCCCTCTGTATCCATGAGTTCTGTATCCAAGGATTCAAACAACAGGGATGGAAAATACAGTATGTGCAGGATGCAGAACCTACAAATCCAGAGGACCAACTTTTAGTATCCATGCATACAACACATAAACAACTCTTTCCTACCCATGGGGCTAACTGAGAGACTAGAACATCTTCAGATTTTGGTAACCACAAGGGTTCTGGAACCATTTCCTAACAGATAACAAAGGACAACTGTATAGGTGAACCTGAAAAGCCAATTTAAATGCTTTTAGTCAAAAGCTTGCTCAAGTTTATCTAGCAGAAAAACAAACAAAAAGGAAAAAAAACTGTAACATAACAACACTATTCTGATGTGGCAAAGAGATGTAATAGCATATTGGTAATAAATTTTTAACTGGAAAAGAATATTCAGATTCATGCCTTTGTCACTAGAGATAGTTGAGAACTCAAGCTTTATAGCTAATTTCAAACAAATTCTGAAAACCTAGCAGGAGGATTGCTTAAGCCCAGGAGTTCAAGAAGAGCCTGGTAATATGGCAAGACCTCTGTCTCTACAACAGTATTTTTTTTTTTTAAATAGAGTCTCAAGCTGTTGCCCTGGGTAGAGTGCTGTGGCGTCACAGCTCACAGCAACCTCCAACTCCTGCACTTAAGCAATTCTCTTGCTTCAGCCTCCCAAGTAGCTGGGACTACAGACGCCTACCACAATGCTCAGCTAATTTTTTTTGTTGTTGTTGCAGTTGTCATTGTTGTTCTAGCCGGCCTTGGCTGGTTTCGAACCCACCACCCTTAGTGTATGTGGCTAGCACCCTGCTAACTGAGCTACAGGTGCCGAAACAAAATTTTTTTCTAATTAATTAGCCAGGTGTAGTGACACACACAAGTAGTCCCAGTTACTTGAAAGGTTAAGCTGGAAGGACTGCCTGGGCCCAGGAGTCTGAGGCTGCAGTGAGCTAAAGTCACTATATATTGCCCTAAGCAATGAAACAAAACCCTGTCTCTTTAAAAAAAAAAAAAAAAAACACTTAAACAAAACACTCACATCCTTAATTTCAGTTAATACTGTTCCTTTTGTTTGGACAAAAAGAAAAGAATAAACATGACTAATAATTACCAAATGCTTAAATTCAAAGAGCAGGTTACCTCTGACAACATCACCTAGCTCAGTCCATAAAAAGAGACTAGGCATAAGTACTTCCATATAAAGGATAACACTTATGTACAGACATCCAGCTGGAACACCATACTGATTAGATCCAAGGTGGGTGATCTTACTACCCTTAACAAATAATTATAGGCAGTTATTTACAGTCATAGAAGGGGGAAAAAATTACTACTGTGTATTATCATTATTTTGTTTTATTAAACCAGTTCATAGATATAGCCTCCCATACCTTGAATTTACCTTACCTGCATGAATTAACATCTGCAAACATTCTATAGAGTTGTGATAAGCTGCTTCATGAATTGGCATCCATCCCCTGTTATCAGCAACATCAACACTACGGCCTTTTTTGAGTAGTTTCCTCAAGACTTTAACATTGCCTTCCCTGGCAGCAAGTCCAACTGCAGAGCATGTGTCCGAGTAGGCCTCTGTAAAATCCATTCTTTTCAGTAGTCTACAAATGATGGTAGAAAGATAATATTGTCGTCAATAAAACAATACCATACTCCTAGAGATTAGCAGATCACAGTAGGCCTGACTTCTCTCTCACTAGTGCCGAGGAAGAGCCCACAGTAGCAACAGCGACTATCATGCCACAGCTTCTGCTGAAACCTAAATCAGGAAAAGTCCCTCTGTCTAACAAATAAGGATTCTTGGAATGTTCTTATTACAAATGTCAAAGGACTTCTTAAATGTTCTCTTTCCTCCTCTGGAAGCCTCTAAGCAGTTCTTGCCAACAGGCTTCTGCTCTTGTTCAAAAAGGCCTCTAGTTAATCCCCAATGTATGATCTACTGTAGAGAGGTGGCCATTTAACTACCACCAATGCTCAGCCTCAATATAGCCCTCTATAGGAAACCCAAAGGCTAGAAAAGGAGCAAAGGACATTTATTGAGAACAAAGATGAGTAATCATTCTAGCTTTTCTGCACCTGCCAGTCCTTTCCAGAAGGAGCTAAACACTCAGGTTCTCTATGCTGGATGAAATAGTCCATTTGATTGAATATACTGAAACCACCATAAAGAGATGAGCCCAGCTTTCCTACACAAGCCCAGAAAGTTCTTCACATTACTGCCCTCAGCAGGATCATCATTTCCCCTTAAAGCTGATCAAGTTCTCATGCAAAGTCCACTATAGATTTCATATACAACTCTCTCACAAAGACAATTAGACATATTAAACACAGTGACACTATGAAGCAGGTTGGATATGGAATAGACATCTGATGACTTAATTATTGTTAATTTTCTTAGATATGACAATGACTTTGTGGTTACTAAAATGTCCTTATTTTAAGACATGTGTATAAGTATTTAAAAGTAAAATGTCATAACACATACAACTTACATCAAATGTTTAGATCAGTGGTTCTCAACCTTCCTAATGCCGTGACTCTTTAATATTGTTCCTCATGTTGTGGTGACCCTAAACTATAAAATTATTTTTGTTGCCGAATTTCATTGAGGCATTAGGAAGGTTGAGAACCACTGTTCTGCATTAAGATGTATATATAAAAGTAAAGCAAATGCAGCAAAATGCTAATTACTGGATTTAGACAAAGGGTATATAAATGATCTTTCCACTCTTTTCTTCTAGTTTTTTTATGTTTGAAATTTTTCAAAAGGGGGAGGGAGTAGTAACCATGTCAGATAATGTAAACCTATAGCCTGAAGAAAATATAAAAAGATCTGGTTATTCTTTTTTTTTTTTTTTTTGAGACGGAGCCTCAAGCTATCCCCCTGGGTAGAGTGCCATGGCATCACGCTCACAGCAACCTCCAACTCCTGGGCTCAAGCGAGTCTCCTGCCTCAGCCTCCCAAGTAGCATTTTTCAGGATCCTTGACCCCTTTGAGAAACTATAAAAATCACGAAAGCAAAGAAGTTTCTCCTCAAAAAAATGCTCATAAACCCCCCATTTTATACACATTTCAGCAGGTTCCCCACCTTTTTTCAAAGTCTGTACTTGAGTTCTAAGAACTTTAGCCAGCTCTTTCCTCAGCGAGCTCAGAATATTAAAGTTCCACGTGTAAAATTTAAACATGCTGGGCAGCACCTGTGGCTCAGTGGGTGGGGCGCCTGCCCCATATAGCGAGGGTGGTGGGTTCGAACCTGGCCCCAGCCAAACTGCAACCAAAAAGGAACCGGGCCTTGTGGCGGGCACCTGTTGTCCCAGCTGCTGAGGAGGCCGAGGTAAGAGAATCACCTAAGCCTAGGAGTTAGATGTTGCTGTGAGCTGTGACGCCACAGCACTCTACCGAGGGCAACAAAGTTAGACTCTACCTCAAAAATTAAAAAATTTAAACATGCAAACAATGTCCATTGAAATAACAGCTACTCCTTCACATCAGTCAATCTTCTACTGTAAATTTTCTGCTTTTATTTGAAGGGCAAAAATGCAGATATTTTTTAAGTACATAGAGTCTAATATGGGTTACGTTCGCGACTTGCGCTTCTCTGAAGGCTGTTACATGACAGAAAGCCAAGTTTCAAAGCAGAACAAAACGTCCTTCCACGCGCTGCCCGCGGCGCCGGGAGCACAGCTCCGTGTACCGTCTCAGGAGCAGCCGCGACTCCGACCTCTCTCCTCCCTCGCCCGCCAACGTTCCAACTTGGGAGCCGGGTCTCCGAACAGGATTGTGGGTATTGTAGTACTCCGCACACGCGCACGGGCGGCGGGTTACGAGGATTCAGGGAGGCTGCAAGAGAGTCCATTGCTTACCACGTAAAAGGCCAATGCCTCTTGACCCCTACTGAAGGAAATAACACAACTCTGCTTGAGCCAGAGTGGAAAAACCTTCCTCCAACTACAATCCCAGCGCACCTTGCGCCCCAATCCACTAGGCGGCTTTCGCGCCTGCGCCCCAGGCAGCCGGTTACTCGCATCTGGGAAGTTGCAGTCTCAAGGTGCAACAGAGAGACCACAGCGGAACGTCCATGGCCACTGTGGCAGAGGAGCAGGGAAAGATGTGGGTATTTGGTTACGGGTCCCTGATCTGGAAGGTGGACTTCCCCTATCAGGACAAGCTGGTCGGATACATCACAAACTACAGCAGGCGCTTCTGGCAGGGCAGCACGGACCACCGCGGGGTCCCTGGCAAGGTGAGGCGCTGGCCAACTCCCCACACAACTTCTGGCCCGGCTGTGCGACATCCACAGCCCACCGCTGGGGACCGAGCACATGGGTTGGCGTAACAGATCTCTATTCCTCGACCACCTGCCCCCATCTCTATACCAAACCAGGGCACCTTTAGAAGCCACTTAAGATGCCGGTGGTTAGTTTCTTGAGGAGGCCAGAAGAGCCGGCACAAGCATACAGGCTTGCAAGACGCTGACGTGCTGGGGGGGCCCCATATCTTGGCTGCCTCCGCCAAAAGAAAACATAGCAGGAAGATAAATTTTCGTGTCACCACGGTGTTGAAATATCAAAATCAACTTGCAAATTCAGCTTTTTAGCTATTTGTTGGTATTTCTGCATTTTAGCACACTTTCATTGGTTTGTATTTAATTGTGCATGCTTTTTCTAGGGCTTCTTTATATCCTTCAAAAGGTTTTATTTTATGACACCTCAGATCACAGAACAACTTCCTAGTGTCTAAAATTATCTCCGTTATTAAGGAACTGTCTTTCAGTACTAGCAAAGTTAAATGAAGTTCCTGGTTTGTTATGTTAAGTAACGGTATCAAACCCATTACTATTAGCCACCATTATTTTAATGCTACTTCCTCCATGGTTCTCAATTATAAATGTGAAATCTAAGTTTTCTGGTCCATTTTCAGACCGTCATAGAAAGACATTCATCTCATTAAGTCCTTTGATCCATTTTTCAGTCAGTCAAAGAAAGATTCACATCTCAAAATAGGTGTACAGTGAATTAGTAACACGGCTTATGCAAGCAAATCAACTATGTATTGGCAGCAAAAAACCTAATACATAAGGAAAGCTAAGCTGTACACTTGTTTTGGTTAACCTCTTTCGGAAGAATATAAAATTTTTTATTGCTTACATGATCTGTAAAAATAGTCAAGATTTACACGAGCTTAATTACTGTTTATTTTTAAAATGAATCAGTACAAAAGTACATTATTTAAAAGGCTAGATCAGATGTAGGAACAGATTAGAGTTAATTCCAAAAAAAAAAAAAAAAAAACCCTGCAGTTAAGGAAAGAGAAAGAGATCAAAGCTCTAAAGTAGTTTTGTATCAGCTCATAAAAGAGACACCGGATTTAATTTTTTTTTTTTTTTTTTTTTGAGACAATGGTCTCCCTCTGTGCCCTGGGTAGAGTGCTCTGGAGTCCTAGCTCACAGTAACCTCAAACTCTTAGGCTCAAGCAATCCTCCTGCCTCAACCTCTTGAGTAGCTGGGGTCTCTTTTAGTACAGAAGGGGTCTCACTTTTGCTCAGGCTCCTCAAAACTCCTGAGGTCAATCCAAGAGTACTAGGATTACCCAGCCAGCATTTAAATCTTTAAAAGAACTTCAGTTAGAAGCCATTTTACCTCAATTAGAATTGGTCAATTTTAAGGTCTACTATACTTAGCCTATTGGGAAGCTGGACTGGACAAAATGACTTGGAAAAGGGGGGGTGGCTTAGAGAAAATGCACATGTTTAAGCCATCAAAAATGTCATGGCCAAAGTATCTCCAAGAATGTTATAACATATATAACATATAAAACAATATTCAAGACATTAAAGAACTAAACTATATAAAAAGCCTTTAGAATGTCAGGGTTTTGTTTTTTCTTTTTGTTTGTTTTTTTAAGAGATAGTAGAGATGAAGTTTCACTATGTGGCTGGTTTTGAACTCCTGGCCTCAAGCAGTCCTCCTGCCTCAGCCTCCTAAAGTGCTGAGATTACAATAAACTAGTAGCTAGGACTATAGGTGCCTGCCACTGCAGCTTGCTAAATTTTTCTATATTTGGTAGAGATAGGGTATCTCTCTTGCTGAGGTGGGTCTCCAGCTTCTGAGCTGAAGTGATCATCCAGCCTTGGCCTCCCAGAATACTAAGATATAGGTGTGAGTCACCACACTGGCCCCCTTATTCAGTTTTAATGCCCCCCCCCAAAAGAGCTTATGTTTTAGAAAAGATGTCCAAGTAAATTTATCAAAGTGCCAGTAGTCCATGTCTGTATCATCCAAAGCTGTCACTAGATTCTATTTATTTCCTCTTAAAATGACCCAGATCCGGCTTAGCACCTGTAGCTCATGCAGCTAGGGCACCAGCCACATACACCGGAGCTGGCCAGTTTGAATCCAGCCCAGGCCCGCCAAACAACAATGAGAATTAGAACCAAAAAACAGCCAAGTGTTGTGGCAGGCGCCTGTAGTCCCAGCTACCTGGGAGGCTGAGGCAAGAGAATCATGTAAACCCAGGAGTTGGAGCTTGCTATGAGCTGTAATGTCACAGCACTCTACCCAGAGCAACAGCTTGAGATTCTGTCTCAAAAAAAAAAAAAGAAAGAAAAAGAATGGATCACATCCTCCTTGCTTTCTGTTCCACCTGCCACCACCCAAGTTCAAGACTTCACTACACCTCTTTTCTTTCTTTCAGTAATTATTACTGAGCACTTACGTAAGTGGGAGATACCAACGCAAACAAAAATACCTGATAAGGAAAATGCATAAAAGAGCACTAAGAGTTTAGAAGGAGCTGCTAAGTCCACCTGGAAAGTTAGCCAGGACTTTATAGAGGAGGTGGCTGGATGAAATCCTAGGCACATAAAAGGATGAAGGGTTATGCAGCCATTAAGAAGGATGGAGACTTTACATCCTTCATGTTCACATGGATGGAGCTGGAGAATGCTCTTCTGAGCAAAGTATCACAAGAATGGAGGAAAAAGTATCCAATGTACACACCCCTATTATGAAACTAATTTATACCTTTTATATGAAAGCTAT